TTGAAGGCAAAATGCCAAGGGGGAGTAAAAAAAAAAAAAAAAAAAAAAAACATTCAAATTGGGACAAACAACAAATCCATTGAGTAGTTTTGAGATGATTTAGCTACAGCATTCCAAGAGAAAGCAATAAGAAGAACTAACTGCCAAATATCTTGTGATCTTTCATTTCTCTAAAACATTCTCTCCTCTTTCTTGCCACCAAAATTTTGAAATTTACATCAATGAACTTAATATGGTCTTTTTCTGGAATGACAGATAAGAGAAGGCAGACTTCAAGATGCTGGTCAGTGTCTCATTCGTGAGTATAGAATGGCTTGTCATGTCATGCGAGGGGAAGTCAGCGAAGATTTCATTGAGGTTTTCCACTGACTGTTTATCTCCACATTTTTTACATTTTTTGTGAGATCTCACATCGGTTGAGGAGGAACAAAACATTCTTTATAAGAGTGTGGAAATCTCTCCCTAACAGACACGTTTTAAAAATCTTGAGGGGAAGCCCAGAAGAGAAAACCTAAAAAGGACAATATCTGCTGGCGGTGGATTCGGGCTGTTATAAATGATATCAGAACCAGACATTGGGCGATGTGCCAACGAGGAGGATGAGCCACGAAGGGGGGTGGACACAAGGCAGTGTGCCAGCGAGTACGCTGAGCCCTGAAGGGGGGTGGATTGTGAGATCCCACATCGGTTGGAGAGGAGAACAAAATATTCTTTATAAGGGTGTAGAAACCTCCCCTAGCAGACACGTTTTAAAAACCTTGAGGGGAAGCCTAGAAGGGAAAGTCCAAAGAGGACAATATCTGCTAGCAGTGGACTTAGGCTGTTATATTTCTATTATCTACTCGAGATCATGATGCCATTTCATTAAATGCAGGGTTGTAGAGCTTTACTGTTGGATAAAGATCGGAACCCAAAGGTATATGTCGGGTGTAGACATCTACATCTTCGAAATCTCTTGCTTGTTATTCGGGATTCTCGAATGTACATTCTTAAAAGTTTATCCAACCTTTATCTGATCTCATCTTTTATATTCTTCTTTAGTGGGAACCCTCAAAGCTGGAGCTTGTCACTGATGCAATGGTTGAGAGGTACTTCTCTAGGATTGAAGACGAAGAGTGGGAAGACCTAAAGCTCACTGCAAGACCCAACTTGCCTGCTTCAGCCACTTCAAAGCTCTAGTTACCATGAGTTTGCAACTTACTCAGTTAATATATATTAGTACTTTGCTAGTTGTTTATGTCTATACATGGTGGTGGATAAGACTGTTGGAAATAAGCCTTCCTCAATGAGGAATCAATAGTTGATTTAATGTATTCTAAAATCAATGAACATACGTAAAATAATGTATTCATAATAAAATTTCAATTTTACACCATGCTATAGATGATAACACTGTCCTTTGTTATTTCTTGTAAACCTATTTTCTATTGACGCAGGAGAGGAGGAAATATCACATCATCCATCCACAGATACCGCTTAAGCTGTGATAAAGGTATTCTAAATTTTCTACTGAGCATTATGGATTGCACATTCCTTTAAACTTCAAACATCAATGAAATTTTATTACGTTAAAGGAATGACCTTAATTACGTCTGTGTGATTATTAGAGATATTTGTGTAATCTCATTAAATAAGAAAAATAGTTAGACTTCCCTAATGTAACCTCTTTACTAGAGAGATTTAGTTAGCTTTTTTGTAGTATTAAACACACATGTATCTCTCTGAAAAGTTAAAAAGAAATGTGATCTAGCTAATTTATGCTTTCAATGTATCCTTTATATATATATTTTTTGTAGAGCCATTCATGTTTCACCAATAATCCCTGCAAGAACAGGAACCATCTTTGAAACAGTGGAAACGGTGAGAGAACTATCTACCTTTTGTAAATCTTTATTGTAGTATGACAATCTGAGCAAGCTTCAGTATGAGATCTCACATCGGTTGGGGAGGAGAATTAAGTATTCTTTATAAGAGTGTAAAAATCTTTCCCTAGTAGACGCGTTTTAAAAAACCTTGAGGAGAACCCCGAAAGAAAAAATCCAAATAGGACAATATTTGCTAGCAGTGAGCTTGAGTTGTTACACTAAGGTTCTTCAAAGATAACAATTCTCCCCCCTACCTTAGATTTCAATAAGCCATAACATAAAGCTAGTTTTCACTTAGCCTGCCAGCTTCAGCTTCTCTCTAACATGTCTAAGCATTGTTTCTGGGTAAGAACAATCTCCCGCCAGAAATGAATATGGGGCATTATCGATCGAACTGCAACCAGGTGTTTTCTGAACTCCTGTCTGATTCATCAATTCTCTAATCTTTTTTTACTTCATTCCACACTTTCCTTCTTGCATAAATGTTGGAGAGCAAAATGTAAACTCCATCCTATGTTGGTTCAAGTTTTAGCAGGCATCTAGCCGCTTCCTCCCCAAGCTCAATATTGTTATATACTCGTTAAGCACCAAGCAGAGAGCCCCAGATTGCACCATTTGGTTCTAAAGACATTACTCAGATAAATTCCCGTGCTTCTGCCAAACAACCCTCTCTACATAAAAAATCCAGCATGAACCGATAATGCTCTTACTTAGGTCTTGATTTGTTGAGGATTGTTGTGGAGGGAGTCCACATTCATGAGTTTATAGGTAAGGAATACATCTCCATTGGTATGAGGCCTTTTGGGGAAGCCCAAAAGAAATCCATGAGAGGTTATATCATACCATTTTGGAGATCCGTGATTCATTCCATAAAACGCTCCCATTTCATGTAATTGCTCTCTGCCCTCTTGATCTAACCCTGCGTAGCTGCAGGCACTCAGTACCTCTATCATCTTAAGGCTGTCATTTGCATTAGATGGAACCGGGCGAGGGCCTCCCTGCCGAGGCCGTGTAGAGCAAGATCAATTATCATAGAATTCCATGAAATCAAATCTCTTTTCGACATCCCATCAAAGATTCGGTTGGCAACCATTTCCCTGATTAACTGCATCGCCTCTATGATTCTGTTGTTCTCGACATAACCAAAAATAAAAGTCGACCAAGCATACACGTCTCTTTCAGACAAATGATCAATACTTGCTTTGCAGGGTTTAGCTCCCCACATTTTGCATACATATCAACCAAAGCACGGTTAGGAATCACGAAATGCCACAATAATATGATATTGTCCACTTTGAGCATAAGTTCTCGTGACTTTACTTTTAGTTTCCCCAAAAGGCTTCATTCTAATGGAGATGTATTCTTTACTTATAAACTTATGATCAACTCCTTAATTAGTCGACGTGGGACTCCTCACCAATAATCCTCCCCTCAAACAAAGTATACCATAGAGCCTCCCCTGAGGTCTATGAAGCCCTCGAACAACCTCCCCTTAATTGAGGCTTGACTCCTTCTTTGGAGCCCTCAAACAAAGTACACCATTTGTTCGTCACTTGAGTCAAGTTTGACTATACCTTCGAGACTCACAACTTCTTTGTTTGACATTCGAGGATTTTATTGGCATGGCTAAGTTAAGGGCATGACTCTGGTAACATGTTAGGAATCACGAACCTCTATAATGGTATGATATTGTCCATTTTGAGCCTAAGCTCTCATGGCTCTACTTTGGGTTTTCCCAAAAGGTCTTATTCCAATGGAGATTTATTCTTTACTTATAAACTTATGATCAACCCTTTAATTAGCCGACGTGGGACTCCCCACTAACCATCCTCAACGAGCACTTCCCAAACACATCTCAAATTCTATTCGAGAGTGCAGCTTCATTCCAACGCCAAAATCTTTCAATTGAGCACAAGCCGTACGAGTGTTGCCATGGTCACTTCATCGGAGTAAATCCATCTTCCTCCATTTTTCTCATACAAAAGAAATGCCTCATTAGGACAATGGTTTTTCGTACAACCACTAATCATCAAAGTCCAAACCACTTCGTTTCTATGACCCATTTTCTCAAACAAAACCTTCGCGGAGTTCAAATCCCCACAGGCAGCATACATATTTAACAATGTGGTTTCTATGTACAGGTCGGAATCAAGCATATACTTCCCAACTTTGAGTTCCAATGAAAGGGCACAAACCTTCAGCAGTGAAGGAAATGTGAATCTATCAGCAACATTTCTCGACCATTGAAGCATCTCAAAGTAACTATGGAGTGCCCTTCTCGGCATGTTGGAATTCACAAGGCCTCTCAACATGGTGTTCCAAGTAAGTATATCCAACTCTTGAGTGTGTGAAAAAACTGAATAAGCATAGGCAAGACCAGGCGAGCCCATTGAGAGGACATGGGCAATGAGCTTGTTAAGTGATGGCTTATGGTGGATGAAGCCATTAACTACCATTTTGTGCATGAAATTGCTTAAATTTTGTTGATTGTGTCCATTTTGTTGCTTCTTTCTAAGAATGGGAAAGATAGGGTTTGGTTTTTGGTTGATTTTGAGACTGTTTTGGAGTGGGCTGGTTTGTAAGAAATATATGAAGGAATCTCTTGACCATAACCTTCATTAAGAAAATATTTGATCTAAAAAATTTCCCAAAGGAAAGTGATCCAACCTCGATTGGAGAGGGAAACAAAACATTCCTTATAAGGGTGTGAAAACCGTTTCCTAATAGACGCGTTTTAAAACCGTGAGGCTAAATAATGGGCCAAAGTGGACAATATGTAGATGCATTTTAAAACCGTGAGGCTGAATAATGGGCCAAAGTGGACAATATCTACCAGTAGTGGGCTTGAGCTGTTACAAATGATATCAAAACCAGACACCAGACGATGTACTGGGTAGGACGCTGGACCCCAAGAGGTGGATGGTGAGATCGTAATAACTTAAATATAACCCGTCCTTTATTTTTCTACCGACACACCCATGAATTACCTCATTAAATTACTTCCAACATTTGAAGTCTGATGAGTAAATTGGTTGGGTTGATGGGATATAATCAATGCTGATATGCACTTTGTTCTTGCTTCCAGCAGAAGCACTTTATTTTAAATGATTTGATGAAGTGGGGTTTCACTATTTGTTTGAGGTAAAATGAGTAGAATTGCAAAGAAAGATAGATATTAAACCCTTTTTTTTTAATCCTTAATACCTTAAATGTTTATTAGTATTACGGCCAATTACGTTATTTCAAGTGCCCAAAATTAAAATATTAAACCAATATGTATCCTTCATCAGTCCCCGTATGTAAATTTAATGGTTATTTTGTTTTTTTAGTTTGTTAAAAATTAAATTTATCTAATAAAATTACACTAAAGTAAGCATTTTCGAGAATTCATGGTAAAAAAAAAAAAAAAAAAAAATTATGTCTAATAGAAATCATAACTTTTTAATCTTGTATAACTTTTTAATCTTGTATATGTTATAGCTTTATAAGTCGGGTATTAACTCAAATTTCAAAAGTTGAATTAAACTCGTAATTAGATGAATTCAAACCGTTCTACAAAAACCCATAAACTCGAAAACAAAAATCAATCAAATTATCATGGAAACCACCCAATTCAATTACTATATATTCCCCCCAAAAAAAAAAAAAAAAACAATTAACTTTGAGCAAAAATGTGACAAAAAATACTTAATTTTCCTTTCCCTATGGTATGTTGATTTGTTTAGGAAGAACAATATATCATTCGATATTCACAAACATCAAATAATTCTTCAACTCACTTGGAAAACAAGGGCTACGCCTCCATGAGCTCCCATGCATCTTCAAAATCTTGATCGCCTTCTCCTTCGTCGAACTCCGGCCACCGCCGCCGCCGCCACCGCCGCCGTCCATGTGCAATATCATCATCAGCTTCTTCACTACCCCACAAGCCATCATCTCTTCCACAACCCTTTCATTGGGGTGAAAACTACTAATCCAAAGCAAAATCTTCACTCCCATTTTTGTTGCTACGTTTGAAACATTCAAAATCTTCTTAGTCACTGCTGCAATTCCCATCCCATGTTCCACCAAAGCCAATCTCCCCTCTGCACATTCACACAAACTCTGCAGAATCTGCAGCATTCGCTCGCATTTCGATCGACCCGACTCCGGTAAGAGCTCGATGAGGATGCACACAGCACCGGCCTCGATCGCCTTCACTCGACTTCTCTTTGACAATGCTAAAATTTCCATCATTACATCCAATGTGCACGAGCTTGCCTTTGTGGAGAATTCGTCTGATACAAGCTCCAACAATGGCTTGAAGAAATCAATCCCCTGTTCTTCCAAAACAGAGCCCCAATTGAAATTGGTGTTCTTAGCAATATTTCTTAGGATTTTCACAGCGTAAAAACGGCCTTCAGCACTTCCCCTTTGAAGAACAATAGCGATGGATTTCATCAATTCTTCTCTCTTAGACATTTCGTCGAACAGTTTGTCTTCGTTCGAAATCGGAAGCTGAGACAACACTCCCACAGCCTCTTCACAAGCTTCAAACGTCCAAAAATCAGAACAATCAATGAGAATTTGAACGACAACATTCACAACAATTCCAATCCCATTCAATCGAACAAATTCCGATTTCATCTCATCGCTCGTTTCAATCATCGATCTCAATTTCCTCAACGAACTCACCTTGAATGGAGAAGACTCAACAGTCGCAAGCAGCGATCGGACTTCCTCGATCGTCGCCGGCGACGCAGAAGAATCAGTAATCTTCCAAGCGAGAATGAGGCGTTTGAGAGTGAGATTAGGAGTAATGACGAAGTCGCCAGCGGCGAGGGTCTGCATCGTCGCCGGACAGGTTTTGTTGTTGTAAGTGAAGAGCCATTTTTCGATGCTTTTTCTCTCGTAGGTGACGCCGGTGGAGATGGTGACGGGATCCTCCATGAGCTCCATGGAAATCGGGCATCCGAAAAGAGGAGGAAAATCGGAATCCATTGATGAATGAAGCGAAGCAGAAGGCTTTGATCTGCAAAAAAATTCATTCAATGGCGAGAGAGACGAAGGGGATCTTATAGGGAACAGTTCGTGAGGTGACGCCAATAAGCCAAGAAGAAATTTTCATGTTATTGTTTTATTTTATTTTTTCGAAAATTATATATGTTAAATTACAAATTTAACCCTTAATTTGTATTCATAGTTTTTAAGGGTAAAAATTAATTTATATGGGTATTGATTCTTTATAATTAATTTATCTGAAATTATAACTTCTAAAATTACTAAATTTTATTTTTTTAATATAATTTAATCTAAACTATATATAAAAAATAATTTGGAAGTCCAATAAAAACTATTTGTTACGCTATAAATTGGAAGCAAAAGTAAATGTTATGTATTAAAATTTTTATTATTGCAATTTGACGCTTCAATTATCGGCATTATCATTCGAGCTCATAAATTGAACAAAATATAATAGGTATTTTTTTAGATTTTTTTTTAAAAAATTTAAAGGTATTATTGAAAATTCATCGTACCTTTTACAAAATTGAAGAGTATTTTTATTAATTTAACCGAAAAATAATATAAATTATTTTTAAATAATTGTTGCAGAGGTTATTGAGTACCAAAAATTAATTTATGACTAAATTTTTTCTATAAAAGGGTACAAAATAAAATAAAAATAAAAATGTTGGGTCAAATGTGAAATTAAAGCAAATTGAAAGCACCAAAACAAAATAAATGCAAGGTTGGGGGAGTTGACTTTGGAATAGGGGCAGTATTGTAAATTGAATTGCATCCGAAGGACTTGCCGGCTTAACTTAATTTTAAAAGTATTTTCATATTTATTTATTCATTCATTCAAACCCAAAATGTGGGAAAAAAATTTATTTATTATTCTGACAGTTTAGGCAGACTCTATTCCCTCTTTTTTTTTTTTTTTTATAATTAATCTAAATTATTATTTTAAAAAAATAATAAATCATTTATTAATTTAAAACAGTAGTAATACTACTAAAAGTCGATCCCTCTCTCACACAATTATTTCTGATTATTATAATTTTCGGATTAAACAATAAATAAATAAGCATGAGATTATTTTTCTTTTTTTTTTTTTCTTCACAAAAATTAAAAAAAATTTATTTTCCTCTAGCCCAGATATTTATAATTGAAATATAAAAAGCAAAAGCTTAATTTGTCTTCTTTTTTTTTTCTTTTTTAAATCTCAAATTATGGTTTGAAATTACTATCCTTCCAAATTTCTCCAAATCTTAACTAGTTCGATTTTGTTTTAACGAGCTAATGTCTAAAATTTTATTTTTATATATATTTACCCGTAGTGAATATATTAAACTTTTAGACGCCGTACATTATATAAAACATAAAAAGGCAAGGACGGTCGTTAAAATAAGCTTATTATATGATAAATAAATTAAAAAACAAAAAGAAATGATTGAGAAAAAGGAAAAGTAGGAAGCAAATGATGAAAGGGAGAAGTAAACCCATTTAGACACTCAAAGTTTGGTTTAGGAGATCAACCTAATCTAAAACTAAAATGAATTAAAGTCAAATTAATTATTATTCCTAAGTTTATGATGGTTAATCAAATATGTTTAAAAGAAACTACATAATAAAATCAACCAAATTTCAGTAATAAATTATAAAAATAAAAGGAAGAATCATTGGATTATGTGCACGCATTTCATCTTAATTTCCATATATTTTTCTGTCTAATGTCGTGTGATGAACACATAACAAACACACATTTGAATATAAAGATTTTAAATCATTTGTATACTAAATTATAGTCAAAGATTAAGATGTCTCTGTTTTTTTTTTTTTTTTTTTTGTACTATTTATATTTAAATCCAATAATTTTATTAAAACAAGTAACGAGAAAGGGATGGGAGAGTTTATTTTTAAAAAAATTAAAAAAAGTCAGAGATCAAATATAGAAAATTAATAAATTAAAATGATAGTGGGAGAAAAAGAGAGTTTATTAATAAGTTTTTAAACTTAAATTTTATGTACCATAGTTGTGCTATTTAAAAATTTTAAAATTTTACAAATTTAACTATTAGGATTTATTAATTTTTAAAAATATTGAATATTTGAAAAACATTTAAAAGACGATTTTTAAATTCAATGGTACACAAACTTAAAATGTGTACATACATATATAATCCCGTTAGAAATCATGGATCTCCACAATGATATGATATTGTCCACTTTGAGCATAAACTCTCGGTTTTGCTTTGGGATTCCCCAAAAGATCTCATACCAATGGAGATAGTATTCCTTACCTATAAACCACTGAATTAGCACTCCCAATAATAATCCTCAACAGTCCCTTCAGAACCTCGCATAAGATTGGAACATATATATACATATACATATATACATGTACTCTGAACTTAACTTGCTATGGGATCCAGAGGCGCCATTTCACTATCATACACATATATATTCACTATCATATACATATATATACAAACAAATACATATATACACACATATAAATATACACATATATATTCACTATCATATACATATACATATATATACACAGATAGATACACGCATACACATTAATTTGGCACAGCTATGAAAATCAAACGCCACAACTGTGAGGGAACCAGCAATATTTGACTAACATAAATAAAAATTGGAAAGATCTCTGGTATTTTCCGGAAGATGAGGAACATATTATCAAGTTTCAAGCATAGGAATCATTATTCAAAGAAAAAAAGGAAGGGAGAAAAAACTAAGTCATAGGAACAAAGAGAAGGTGATTGGTGGGATCTAATTTATTAAGGTATGGTTGAAGAATTAAGACACAGCAATTTCTTTTCCTCAAAAGAAAGGAACTGATCAACTAACTACTAATGTGTAAAAGGAAGGCATGAGTAAATACCTTGGAACTCCCTCCCTCTTTTCCTCTCTCCATGAGAGAATTATGAAATGAAAATGAAGAAAAACAAAGAGCATGACTCACTCTCATGGATCTACTTTCCAAACAAAATATGTGATAAGGATGAATATCAAACTAGCTCAAGTAAGTGTATTTATTATAAAGACGTGGAAACCTCTCCCTAGCAAACGTGTTTTAAAAACCGTGAGGGGAAACCCAAAGAAGAAAAATTCAAAGGTGACAATATCTACTAATAGTGGGCTTGAGCCGTTACAATTTATGATGCTTCTACTGTGACTTCGGAAAGTTACTACTCAAATTACCTTTAATTCGCATTTTTAAGTCAAAGAAAGAGATACAAACTCTTTATTCAATGAGAAGCTTGTCTCCCGAAGGACATCTCTAGAACGAAAATTCAAAGTCAGATTCAAATTCTCATATCTTATTATTACACTAATCCCAAATAACTTGCATGAATTAAGTTCAGCAAAAAAAAAAAAAAAAAAAAAAAAAAAAAAAAAAAAAAAAAAAAAAAAAAAAAAAA